CAAAATTGTAGACCTGCACCAGGCTGGGAAGACTGAATCTGCAATAGGTAAGAGCTTGGTTTGAAGAAATCAACTGTGGGAGCAATTATTAGGAAATGGAAGACATACAAGACCACTGATAATCTCCCTCGATCTGGGGATCCACGCAAGATCTCACCCCGTGGGGTCAAAATGATCACAAGAACGGTGAGCAAAAATCCCAGAACCACACGGGGGGACCTAGTGAATGACCTGCAGAGAGCTGGGACCAAAGTAACAAAGCCTACCATCAGTAACACACTACTCCGCCAGGGACTCAAATCCTGCATTGCCAGACGTGTCCCCCTGCTTAAGCCAGTACATGTCCAGGCCCTTCTGAAGTTTGCTAGAGTGCATTTGGATGATCCAGAAGAGGATTGGGAGAATGTCATATGGTCAGATGAAACCAAAATATAACTTTTTGGTAAAAACTCAACTCATCGTGTTTGGAGGACAAAGAATGCTGAGTTGCATCCAAAGAACACCATACCTACTGTGAAGCATGGGGGTGGAAACTTCATGCTTTGGGGCTGTTTTTCTGCAAAGGGACCAGGACGACTGATCCGTGTAAAGGAAAGAATGAATGGGGCCATGTATCGTGAGATTTTGAGTGAAAACCTCCTTCCATCAGCAAGGGCATTGAAGATGAAACGTGGCTGGGTCTTTTAGCATGACAATGATCCCAAACACACCTCCCGGGCAACGAAGGAGTGGCTTCGTAAGAAGCATTTCAAGGTCCTGGAGTGGCCTAGCCAGTCTCCAGATCTCAACCCCATAGAACATATTTGGAGGGAGTTGAAAGTCCGTGTTGCCCAGCGACAGCCCCAAAACATCACTGCTCTAGAGGAGATTTGCATGGAGGAATGGGCCAAAATACCAGCAACAGTGTGTGAAAACCTTGTGAAGACTTACAGAAAACGTTTGACCTGTGTCATTGCCAACAAGGGGTATATAACAAAGTATTGAGAAACTTTTGTTATTGACCAAATACTTATTTTCCACCATAATTTGCAAATAAATTCATAAAAAATCCTACAATGTGATTTTCTGGAATTTTATTTCTCATTTTGTCTGTCATATTTGACATGTACCTATGATGAAAATTACAGGCCTCTCTCATCTTTTTAAGTGGGAGAACTTGCACAATTGGTGGCTGACTAAATACTTTTTTTCCCCACTGTATTTTTAACTGTGCTGTTTCACAAAAGTTCTGAACCTACAGTGGGGAGAACAAGTATTTGATACACTGCCGATTTTGCAGGTTTTCCTACTTACAAAGCATGTAGAGGTCTGTACTTTTTATCATAGGTACACTTCAACTGTGAGAGACGGAATCTAAAACAAAAATCCAGAAAATCACATTGTATGATTTTTAAGTAATTAATTTGCATTTTATTGCATGACATAAGTATTTGATCACCTACCAACCAGTAAGAATTCCGGCTCTCACAGACCTGTTCGTTTTTCTTTAAGAAGCCCTCCTGTTCTCCACTCATTACCTGTACTAACTGCACCTGTTTGAACTCGTTACCTGTATAAAAGACACCTGTCCACACACTCAATCAAACAGACTCCAACCTCTCCACAATGGCCAAGACCAGAGAGCTGTGTAAGGACATCAGGGATAAAATTGTAGACCTGCACAAGGCTGGGATGGGCTACAGGACAATAGGCAAGCAGCTTGGTGAGAAGGCAACAACTGTTGGCGCTATTATTAGAAAATGGAAGAAGTTCAAGATGACGGTCAATCACCCTCGGTCTGGGGCTCCATGCAAGATCTCACCTTGTGGGGCATCAATGATCATGAGGAAGGTGAGGGATCAGCCCAGAACTACACGGCAGGACCTGGTCAATGACCTGAAGAGAGCTGGGACCACAGTCTCAAAGAAAACCATTAGTAACACACTACGCCATCATGGATTAAAATCCTGCAGCGCACGCAAGGTCCCCCTGCTCAAGCCAGCGCATGTCCAGGCCTGTCTGAAGTTTTCCAATGACCATCTGGATGATCCAGAGGAGGAATGGGAGAAGGTCATGTGGTCTGATGAGACAAAAATAGAGCTTTATTGGTCTAAACTCCACTCGCCGTGTTTGGAGGAAGAAGAAGGATGAGTACAACCCCAAGAACACCATCCCAACCGTGAAGCATGGAGGTGGAAACATCATTCTTTGGGGATGCTTTTCTGCAAAGGGGACAGGACGACTGCACCGTATTGAGGGGAGGATGGATGGGGCCATGTATCGCGAGATCTTGGCCAACAACCTCCTTCCCTCAGTAAGAGCATTGAAGATGGGTCGTGGCTGGGTCTTCCAGCATGACAACGACCCGAAACACACAGCCAGGGCAACTAAGGAGTGGCTCCGTAAGAAGCATCTCAAGGTCCTGGAGTGGCCTAGCCAGTCTCCAGACCTGAACCCAATAGAACATCTTTGGAGGGAGCTGAAAGTCCGTATTGCCCAGCGACAGCCTCGAAACCTGAAGGATCTGGAGAAGGTCTGTATGGAGGAGTGGGCCAAAATCCCTGCTGCAGTGTGTGCAAACCTGGTCAAGACCTACAGGAAATGTATGATCTCTGTAATTGCAAACAAAGGTTTCTGTACCAAATATTAAGTTCTGCTTTTCTGATGTATCAAATACTTATTTCATGCAATAAAATGCAAATTAATTACTTAAAAGTCATACAATGTGATTTTCTGGATTTTTGTTTTAGATTCCGTCTCTCACAGTTGAAGTGTACCTATGATAAAAATGACAGACCTCTACATGCTTTGTAAGTAGGAAAACCTGCAAAATCGGCAGTGTATCAAATACTTGTTCTCCCCACTGTATATACATTTTACAGACACAGTATATTTTACATTTGTTATTTTGTTATTAGGCCCTCCCTTTAGCTCCATTCAACCTCTCCCATCTATCTCTTAACACCATCCATATTGGATTTCTATTTGCCATATATTTTTCAACTGTGCTGTGATGCTTCACAAAAGTTCTGAACCTTTCTATTCTCATAGTTTCTACAGATTGTAAATTAAAGATAAACATTTTGCTAAAAGTATTTTTATATTATTGATTGATTGACTATGACTTTTCAAATCACCCAGAATTGCTATTTTCAGCGTTAGCTCCAGGTAAATGTTACAATTCTTCAACCATTCCTGGACCTGTGACCAAAAACAAGCTACATATGGACAGTATCAAAATAAATGATCTAATGACTCTGTCTCTTCGCAGCAAAATCTGCAGAGCTTGGAAGGTTGTATCCCCCATTTATATAACATTCTATTGGTTGCAAGAAATGTGTATAATAATTTAAATTGAAAAATTCTAAGTTTTGAATCCGGCGTTGTTTTGCGTATCAGTTCATAAACCATGTGCCATGGAATCGGTACATCAAAAATCTCTTCCCAACTATTTTGCAATCTATATGGCACAGCTGTCAATTTTTTGCTCCTTAAATTAAACTGGTATATTTTCTTTATTTATCACAATTTTCTTTAACCAATTTCGGTCTTTAATGCAGGGCTGACAGACAAGTTCCTTACTTTTTACCCCTTCCACTTGCCTCTTCCATTTTTGCGGTAATGCTGCAATTTGTTGGTTGTAATTTTGGGTAGAGCAGATATTTCCATATATTTTTGTTAACTGCATATGTGACACAACTCCACCAGTCCTATTTATTATATAATTTACAAAGATTATACCTTTTTTAAACATTTTATCAAAAATAATGCTTTTTTATCAATTAGTATATTTGAGTTTAACCACAACATTTGTTGTATTATTTGTTCTGTCTTTTCTGGTGGATTAAACTGAAATTGCAACCAACTTTCTATGGCTTGTTTTAAAAATAGCGATATTTTGGAGATTATTTCATTTTCAAATAACCGAAAGTGAGAGGTTGTAATCTGAATAAAGGGAAAAAGGCCATTCTTGAACATGGTTTGAGACATTCTTACTAATTTGTTAGAGAACCAGTTTGGATTTAAGTATAACTTTTGGATGACTGACGCCTTTAGTGAGAGGTCTAATGCTTTAATATTTAATCATTTCTGCCCTCCGAATTCATATTCATTATATAAATAGGCCCTTTTAATTTTGCCTGGCTTGCCATTCCAAATTAAATGGAATATTTTTTTGCTCATATAATTTAAAAAACAGGTCACTAGGTGTAGGCAAGACCATAAGCAAACAGGTAAACTGGGATATGACTAAAGTTAATCAGGGTGATTTTTTCACAAATAGACAGGTATTTTCCTTTCCATGGAAGCAAGATCTTATCTATTTTTGCTAGCTTTCTATAAAAATGTATTAGAGTGACATCATTTCTTTCTTTCGGGATATGTATACCGAGTATGTTAACATCCCTGTCAGAGCATTGGTTGTATAGGCAATACCAATTATGTACCAAAGACATCTTAAATCAGTAAAATAATATATAAAATATTATGCGTAATATGCGGTAGGCTATGTATTGTACAACGGCACAATCATTATTTTAATTAAAGGATTTTTTCAGGCTTGGGCTCATAGGCCTATGCGTATGCATAAGCTCTAATATGTGTATGGGTGTTTTGAATGAATCATCACCTTAGAAAGCGCTGTCCATTTAGTTATGTTAGGCTTTGAAACAACATCCACAACGACCATAAATTCCACTTTTTCAACCGGTTGTTGAACTTCTTTCTTCAAATTGATCAATCACATTGAGGTGAGTTTTAAAAGTGTTTGATGTGATTTTCAATTGCATTTCCATTGATGTCAGAGTGGTTAGAGGGACAATAGAGTCCCGAGTACCAGGCCATTAGGGTCGTTAGTGAGTTGGGTACTACCAATGCATGTCCAGAGTGCATAAAAGGTGGAATTTTAATGCAGTCGTGATTGATGACTGCCGGTGTGGCGGTAATACGGTCACCGCAACAACCCTAAATGTAACACATATGGTTTATAATACATTTATAAAACATGGCAGCTGGGTTCTCACCTCCAGAGCACAGATCCCAAAGGAGAAGATGTCAATAGCATAGTCATCCTCAGCCACTAGACATAAGGAGAGAGAGAACAGTTGGAATCAATATGTAACATAATGACTGTCTAGTCACAGCATGGTTAGAAATTCCATAGATGCAGTAAAGAGGTCAATGGAATGCAGACCATGGGGGATAGAAGGACGCTGGATTGGCGCACATTCAACAAATCTGATCAAACAAAGTCATGATTTATGTATTGTAACAGGCCCACAATGTGATTTTTACCTCAACATAGTATGAAATACACATATAAACAATAGGCCAAATTTAGGCTTATTTTGCTGGGGGGCAATGACAGCATCTTTCCCCAACGCGTTTCCATGGCATTTCCATTGTTTTGGAGTTCCATTTACTTCTTTTCCGCATCTTTAGTGAAACTGGCAACCCATAAAAGCAAGAAAGGCCCATATTCATTCAAGCGTCTAGGATCAGTTTAGCCTTTTAGATCATAATGAATAAGATTACATGAACAAAAAGGACCGGATCCTAGAACAGCACTCCTACTCTGAGATGCTTTATGAATACGGGCCATAATAGATATAGAAATAGAGGAAGGCCCAGTAAAACACTCACAGCCGTATTCAGGAGAGAAGAAGTGCAGGTTCCTCTGTTCGTCTCGGTTGGGGCGGACTTTACCATGAACACTGGCCTCCGGAAACACTGTGAGAGCAAGATAGACAGTAAAAAAAATCTAACCCAGACACCAGACCACACAGAATATTGTGACGTTCACTGAGAATAAGATACAGTGGGGAGAACAAGTATTTGATACACTGCCGATTTTGCAGATTTTCCTACTTACAAAGCATGTAGAGGTCTGTAATTTTTATCATAGGTACACTTCAACTGTGAGAGACGGAATCTAAAACAAAAATCCAGAAAATCACATTGTATGATTTTTAAGTAATTAATTTGCATTTTATTGCATGACATAAGTATTTGATACATCAGAAAAGCAGAACTTAATATTTGGTACAGAAACCTTTGTTTGCAATTACAGAGATCATACGTTTCCTGTAGGGCTTGACCAGGTTTGCACACACTGCTGCAGGGATTTTGGCCCACTCCTCCATACAGACCTTCTCCATATCCTTCAGGAATCGGGGCTGTCACTGGGCAATACAGACTTTCAGCTCCCTCCAAAGATTTTCTATTGGGTTCAGGTCTGGAGACTGGCTAGGCCACTCCAGGACCTTGAGATGCTTCTTACGGAGCCACTCCTTAGTTGCCCTGGCTGTGTGTTTCGGGTCGTTGTCATGCTGGAAGACCCAGCCACGACCCATCTTCAATGCTCTTACTAAGGGAAGGAGGTTGTTGGCCAAGATCTCTCTATACATGGCCCCATCCATCCTCTCCTCAATACGGTGCAGTCGTCCTGTCCCCTTTGCAGAAAAGCATCCCCAAAGAATGACGATTCCACCTCCATGCTTCACGGTTGGGATGGTGTTCTTGGGGTTGTACTCATCCTTCTTCTTCCTCCAAACACGGCGAGTGGAGTTTAGACCAAAAAGCTCAATTTTTGTCTCATCAGACCACATGACCTTCTCCCATTCCTCCTCTGGATCATCCAGATGGTCATTGGCAAACTTCAGACGGGCCTGGACATGCGCTGGCTTGAGCAGGGGGACCTTGCGTGCGCTGCAGGATTTTAATCCATGACGGTGTAGTGTGTTACTAATGGTTTTCTTTGAGACTGTGGTCCCAGCTCTCTTCAGGTCATTGACCAGGTCCTGCCGTGTAGTTCTGGGCTGATCCCTCACCTTCCTCATGATCATTGATGCCCCACGAGGTGAGATCTTGCATGGAGCCCCAGACCGAGGGTGATTGACCGTCATCTTGAACTTCTTCCATTTTCTAATAATTGCGCCAACAGTTGTTGCCTTCTCACCAAGCTGCTTGCCTATTGTCCTGTAGCCCATCCCAGCCTTGTGCAGGTCTACAATTTTATCCCTGATGTTCTTACACAGCTCTCTGGTCTTGGCCATTGTGGAGAGGTTGGAGTCTGTTTGATTGAATGTGTGGACAGGTGTCTTTTATACAGATAACAAGTTCAAACAGGTGCAGTTAATACAGGTAATGAGTGGGGAACAGGAGAGCTTCTTAAAGAAAAGCTAACAGGTCTGTGAGAGACGGAATTCTTACTGGTTTGTAGGTGATCAAATACTTATGTCATGCAATAAAATGCAAATTAATTACTTATAAATCATACAATGTGATTTTCTGGATTTTTGTTTTAGATTCCGTCTCTCACAGTTGAAGTGTACCTATGATAAAAAATTACAGACCTCTACATGCTTTGTAAGTAGGAAAACCTGCAAAATCGGCAGTGTATCAAATACTTGTTCTCCCCACTGTAGATGTGCAGCACGTTATATGGTTCTTACCATTCACAAACAGCCGGTGCCATACTGTAGATAGAAAAGAGCAGAGTATCCAGTATTAACTTCAGTGGCATAGAACGACAACAATAATGACAATACACCTTCGGGTAATTGTATTACACACAATGTATAGGTGTTTTCTAGTATGCAATGCTAACTGTTATTGCTACCATTTATTCAGATGAAGCTGTCAAGTCACAATTGAGTTGTTCCTAAAGGCCATGCTACGGCAGGGTTAGAGTTAGGTTTATGTTAGGGTTAGGTTAAGGTTAGGTAGAAAGTCTTTGCTGTATCAGACCTGAGCCAATCTTGATGAGGCCGTTGTGTTGGATAAAGATGGTGTCACAGGTCAGGTTGCCATGGATAATGGGCGGTTCACAGGAGTGCAGGTAACTGGTGGTAAATAACATGGCAATTAAGTGACTGAACACTTTGGGTCTCCAATTCCAACTCTTGCCCCCGGAAAACTATGGGACCATGATTAGTAGAATCCCGGGACCACCCATATGTAAAAAATTGATGCACGCATGACTAAGTTGCTTTGGCTAAAAGTGTCTGCTAAATGGCATATATTATTATTATTTTAATAATTATTATATTAATCAGATATGTTAGTGCTGGACTGGAACAAAAGCCTGCATACCCATTACCTCTCCACGACAAGAGATGAAGACCCCAGTCAGTCCTAGAGTAATAGTTTACACTGCCACTGAAAATAATAGAGGGGATGAGAATGTTATTGGTCTTACCTGAGGGCAGAGAGAATTTGGGTACACCATCGCTTCCAAGCCTGGAATACATAACAGAGTGAACTGCAGACACTTAAAAAGTGGGATATGATTGAAGTTTGCAAGGATAGAAAACGACTTAAGTATAATCCCCTAATGTCTGACCAGGGACGGGTTCAGTACAAGGTAGCAAAACATTTTGAAATGGACAAAGAAAATGTGTGTTTTTATTGGACATGTAGTGTTCAGGTAGTACCTCCCTGTTTCGAGTGTTTCAAAACGTGTGTCACAGCCAGGGGTCAGAGGGTATTTCCCCAATAGCAGAGAGACACTGACCTTGACATTCATGGTCTTATGGTTTTTCTTGGTTTTCTTGAGAAACTGCTTGAGGCTGCCTGAGGACATGTACTCTGTGATAAAGATTACCTGTCCAACAGATAGCAGAAAGAGATATTATCAGTGTGCAGACCAAAGCAATCGATCCCAGTTCAGAGATACTGTCAGTGTGAGATAAAGAGAGAGAGACATTTCCTAAGAGAATGAGTGATAATGACAGGCCTTAGAGGTTGATCTAGATAGCAGACTTACCCGAGCTCGACTCTCTTTCATATCCAGCCAGTACTTATGGAACTTGACTATATTTGGGTGCTCAACCTGCATCAGGTTCTCAAACATCTCTTTAATCTTCTCCTGAAAAAGAGATGGAGTGGGGAGAGGTTTGTGTACTTAAGAGTAGCACAGGTGGTTCGCCAAAATATGCACGTTTAAACCATTGACTCCTACTTCCATTTGTGTGCTCGCTCTGGAGAATGGAAGTACATAGAATGGAACATATAGCCAGTGACAATAGAAACTCTGTCTGCGTCCCAAATGGCACCCTATTCCCTATATACACTGAGTATACCAAATATTAGGAACACCCCCCCCCCCCCTTTTGCCCTCAGGACAGCCTAAATTCGTCAGGGCATTGATTCTACAAGGTGTTGAAACCGTTCCACAGGGATGCTGGCCCATGTTGACTCTAATGCTTCCCACAGTTGTGTCAAGTTGGCTGATGTCCTTTGGGTGGTGGACCATTCTTGATACACACGGAAAACTGTTGAGCGTGAAAAACCCAGCAGCGTTGCAGTTCTTGACACAAACCAGTGCGCCTGGCACCTACTACCATAGCCCCTGTTCAAAGGCACTTAAATATTTTGTCTTGCCTATTCACCTACTGAATGGCACACATACACAATCCAGGTCTCAATTGTATCAAGGCTTAAAAATCCTTCTTTAACCTGTCTCCTCCCCTTCATCTACACTGATTGAAGTGGATTTAACAAGTGACATCAATAAGGGATCATAGCATTCACCGGGATTCACCTGGTCAGTCTATGTGAGTTCTTAATGTTTTGTATACTTAGTGTAGTGCACTACTTTGACCAGAGTCCTATGAGCCCTGGTCAAAAGTAGTGCACTATATAGGGAATAGGGTGCTATTTTGAGACACCCCGTCTAACTTTGCCGTACCTCCTGTGCCTTGAAGACCTTCCTGTCATTGAAGAGCACCTCATTCCACACCACCTCGACTCCCTCCTCTGTGTCCATGGCCAGCGACGCGCTCTCAACACCGGGGACATTACCTTGACTGATCTGCAGGGGGAGACAAACACACATGAGAGATCTCACAAGCGCCGCAGATGCTATAACTGAAGAGGAACATAATGGTATGTGTGTTGTTGCAGACACAATTTACTACATGTAGCTGCTATCGTGAATAATTTAGATGTTTCGGCGTCAGCTCTCTATGGCCGCAAAACCTCACAGGATATCTAGAATGACCCTGCAAGGGTAGGATTCCGATCTATTTTGCAAAGCTATGCATCCCGATTTCAAATCCTAAATGGATAGCGGTTTTCATTCATTAAATGGACGGATATGGATCTTATGTAAAAAAATAAAAAAATAATCTATAGCACTGATGTCACATAATGTCTGACTACTAAAAACCTGCTGCCCTGACCATCTGTGTCATGATGATGTAAAAAGACAAGGGGGGTGAGGATCAGAGATTCTGTCAGAGTGAAGAGATGGATTAACGAAAGAGCGAGACAGGGGAGGGGGATGGGATAGAGAGCAAAAGAGAGAGATTGGGAGTAGGAGATTGGGAGATGAGAGAGGGCGAGATAGAGAGAAAGAGAAATTGGGAGTGAGGGATTGGGAGTGGGAGTAAGCAAGAGGATGAGATAAAGACAGAGGTAGAGAGAGAGGGAGGGAAAAATGTGTTATGGAGGGGGAGGGGAGCCGGCTGCCGGGAGCATGTGCTGTTATCAGACTTAAGAGGACACTGAGTCAGAGAATAGGCCAGACTGACTCGGAGCAGAACAGCAGCAGCACTGTTTGTGTCTGTGTTCCAGAGTCTGGCAGAGCAGAGACAGACAAACCCTGGGCTCCCATTCATTCCGCCTCAGATTAGCAGGGAGTACGCATTGACACAGCACTGAGATGACTGCTCAGCCCAGAATACAACCAAAGAACAGTCAGTCACACACTGCAGCTCAGAGCCTGAGCTAAGCACACACAAGCTAACTTATCCCAATCTCTTTTCCCCTGATGGACAGATAACACCAAAGAGGCAAAAGAGCAGCACATAGGTAGTGGTCAAACCTGTCCTTTACAGATACTAGTTGGCTGCCTGCCTGTCTCTATGATGACCAAAGAATTCTGAGCAGTACAAAGAACATCTGTTACTGTGACACCTTCACAAACAGCTACACATCTGGTGTAGCATTCGATTGTATGATGCACCCAACCCATTCCACTTGTTAATACCTGACTGTCACTTAATGAACCTGAACCCGCATCTGCTACTTCAAAGGTACGCTTGCTCGGCACTGATCTCTTATAGGATGCACCGTGTTCCATCATGTAAGATTAACATATACCTTATTTGCATTTACAGAATAAGCATATAGCAATTGATCATCACCACTTCTGGGTGTGTATTCTTAAGCCACTCTGTATGTCTTCAGTGAATGTATTCGAATTCATTTGAAAGAGGGAATATCAATCTGTGATGCTATTTCATTTTGGGTGTCCTCCTACTGTATTAAAGTTACTAGTTAAGTGTTCATAAGCAGTCAAGTTATGATTGAATTAACTATTAACGTATTATTAAATAGTAATTACATAGTAGTAGCACGTTAGACATTTTCATAGGCACCTTCATGAAATGCAAGAGCACACACATAGTTATAAATGGATTCGAAATGGCCTCTTTCACCACGGTGTGTTACCACATTGTTAATCAACAAGCCCACACCCAATCAACTGCTGCGCCCACTGCCATAAATATAAAGCCCAGATGACAGCAGCCTGCCACATTGGCATCCTACCAGGCTGCTTTGGCCCAAGTGAGGTTGCAACACAGTGTGACCACACAATACACTTTTAATATCACTGTTATGTCCCTGGCTAGAGCAAACCATTATCTGAGGTGTACACAGTACACACCCTATCCATTTCATAGTTTAAAATGTTATTGTAGACACTGTTGGCTTTGTCCACTACACAACCAGCAGTGTTGTTCCAATACTCTCCTACTCGAAGTACGGAGGGCCCTAGTCTAGAGGGGCTGCAGTGGGGAGATGACATTTGAATCTCTCTCTCTCTGTTCTACTCCTACTCAGTGAGGGATGATGAACTGATTATGGGGCAATACAGGGCAGGAAGTAGGAACACAATGCTCTGACATAGTGACACTAACGGAGTGCCAGGGCTGGCTGGGAATTCCCAGCTAAAGCATGTCTACTGGGGCTACACAGGGACTCATGTTTGGGTACTGTTGTATATTTTCTGTGGGTGTTACGAAACAGTTAGGCCCCTGTGCTGGAGTTGCTCCCGGAGTGTTTGGTGGGGTGGTGGGGTTGGGTGCTCAGTCATGGTAGGGTGAAACTAGTAAACAGTCTGTGATTGGCTGCTGAAGGGAGGTGGGTTAAGGGTGGGGAAGAGGTCGGTGGGTTCACGTCAAAACAACACAAACATCTACGTTGATGTTTTGCTGTTCAGACAGATTATCAGATAACAGAGGTAATTCCGGTAAATCTGTCTGGAAAGCTTTCTGTTGTTTGGAAAATCAATTTTGTCAGATAGATTTACTACATGCTTGTTTATTTACATTAACTGTACCAGTCCATTTCCTGATACTAATAAACAAGGAAACTGGTCAGCTACATTTTAGACAGCTTTGAGTTATGTTAGTTTGGATAAAAAATAATGTCATGATCTCCAGCAAGTTGATTAAAAAAGACGATGCTGATAATAACATGAATTTCCATATTGCTTGCAGTTGAGGAGTAGGCCTACCTCTATCTACATGAATCCACAGACAGTCAGCCACAGGTAAGCCTTGGCGTGTGACTGTCTGAGCCCAAGTGATCAGCACAGATTACCCACAATCCTCCGGCCTGGGGCGTAACCCCTAGGCCACACCAGTAATACACACTGTCCATAAGAGGTCAGGGGCTGTGCGTCCCCCGCGGATGTTGGTCTCAGAGCCGCATAGCTATGTCACAATGGGACACCGGACTATAGCGTCTCAGGACTATGATTTTTACTTTATAGTAGGCATAAATAGGCTTGTGGAGGCCCATGTCCGGCTCCACTCCAAACCCTACGTGAAGAAAACCAGGGCTGCGTCCCAAATGGCAACCTATTCCCTACAGCGCATTACTTTTGACCAGAACCGTATGACTTTGGGCCCTGGTCAATAGCAGTGCACCAATGGGAATTGGGTGACATTTGGGACGCAATCCAGATGACTAAAGATCTGATCTCAAACCTCCCTGGACATAACCTGATTACAGATACACTCCCGGGAAACTCACCACTAGAGCCATCCCCAGTACACACACAATGATGAGGAGTAAAGGCTCATTCACATGTGGCATAAGGCCAGCATATTGTCTCTGTGTGTGTTAGAGACCGGATGCTAGAATTAGTGCGGTGAGTCAGGCAGAGAGGAGATAATGAAGAGGGGATTAGGGAGAGGTAGAAGGGAGGATGTTAAGGCCCTCTACAATGTGGCAGCTCGTCACTATCTATGGCCCTGCAGTGGGCGTCTCTGTCTCTGTACTGACCTGTAGTCTCACTGTAGCAGAGAACAAATGAAAGAGTGCCTTTGTCTGAGGGAGATACAATGTAAGTGTGTGGGTCTTGACAATAACAAAGGACTCAGTCTCCCCACTCTACCATATTTCTCTATCTCTCAGCCTCCTCCTACACCCAATTTTAATACCAGATGACGAATCAGAGTAGCCTACTGCACGACTACATTTAGTTACATCAGCTTAACATTAATAGTAGACTTGATACAGACCATTGAGACTGCTGCACCCAGAAAATCTGCATTACACCACACTATGTGGTGCTGCCGTACAGTAGAGTATGCACATGAGGGAGTCAGTTTCCATGGTTCTCTGCCTTCTCTCTCTGAGGGGTGGCTGTGACCAAAGCAGAGCACGGATCAAAGAAGTGCCTAGACTCCTTTGCTACGGAGATGACTGTTGATGTGTGACACACAGAACAATGATTCCCAACTCCCTGGCAATGCACAGAAAAATGGGTGGGGAGTTAGAGGAAGATTGGCGCCCTATTTGTTCTGTGGTTCACTGGTTTTCCAACTAACAATGATGATGATAGCAACCAACATTCTAATGTTATTCTTTACTTTGACAAATATAAAATAGTTTGGAATAATACAAAATGACTTACATCACAACACTGCGAACCAAGGAATAACTTGAATGATATATGGAAAGTAAAACAATTTCCTAACATTGAATTTGTCATCGCTTAGCTCAGTCTCATTGTAAAGCTCATGTTCCTTCAAGAGAAAAGGCCCATTGCCAGGACCTACTACCAATTACTAAGACCCCCTGCCTCCCTCTGTGACCTTCACAATCTGGATAGGTCACTGCGAATTTAGCCTAATGGCCCCGTCCGAATAGAAGACTCTGTCCCTGTCAACTTCATGAAGAGATGTTAAGGAGATAAGCTCAAATCAAGTTTCACTTGTTAATTTTCTTAGAGGCCATGTCAAGGATGGAATGTAGGAGAGCAAGGCAGGCTGGGAGATCTTAAGTCCTGAGTCAGTAGTACCAAAGCTGTACCAAAACACAGAGCCGTTGGACACGATACAGTCAAAACACACTGTATGACGGAGGAAGCATTGTTGATGTTGCCTGGAGAGCTTGAGTGGGAAGTGGAGACCGCAAGATTCCTAATCATTCCCCAAACGTAAAACGGTCTATTTGTAACACCACTCAAATAAACTATTTGAAAACACACAACTTCAAATGTGCTTGCACTTGCAATAACAATGTCCTTAAACACTGAAAATAATTTTCTACAGATTTTAACTCGAACAACATGGGCTTTACCAGTCCTACAAAAAATGTCTGCTGTTACATTCAAATGTATTGAAGACTCTAGTCTTCCATTTGTGGTCCAGATGAAAGAGTGATCACAGCAAACCAAAATTGGTTCTGTGAAAGTTCCCAGAACATTCGTTAGGTCGCGGCAAATGTTCTCTTAACACAAAAACTGTCCAGTTGTGCTGACATTCAAATAATGTTTGTATCAGAGTGCACAAA